GGGATTTTCCAGACAAGAGTACTGGAGTGGGTTGCTATTTCCTTCTCCAATAAATGTCAGCCCGTCCTTGGTGGTGGTCTTTATAGAATTTGGGCTTCCTAGGTGGCACTAGTGGTAAAGAATCCACCTGCCAAGGCAGGAGACGCAAGAGATGCAGGTTTGATCCCTGGGTTGGGAAGATCCCCTGGAGGAGAGCATGACAACCCACTCCAGTATTCTTGCCTGGAGAATCCCAGGGACAGAGGAGCCTGGAAGGCTACAGTCCATGGGGTCACAAAAGAGTAGGACATGACTGAGCAACTGAACACACACTCACATAGAATTTAGTGCAAATGAAGAGCATGAATGGAAACCAAGGCCTCTCCTCATGAGCGGTTTCTAAACTCAGGGACCCCACCCCAGTTTTCTCCAGTCTGGACTCTGCCCTCTCTCCCCCACAGAAACAGCACTCCCCGGGGGACGTCCCCAGCAGTCCAGTGGTTGACTCCAAGCTTCCAATGCAGGGGGCACAGGTTCAGTTCCTGGTCGGGGAACTAAGATCCAGCGGGCGGCATGGTGTGACCAAAAAAATAAATAAATAAAAATAAATTAAAAAAGAAAAAAGAAACAGCACTCCATAAGGTCACCCATGACCTTTCTTTCCAATCCTTTGGGTGGTCTTCCACCCTCCTCTCTCTTCTCCTCTGGGAAATTCTGAGCCCAGTTGAATGGAAATTCTCTTGGCTTCAACTCTGTGACTTTTCAGTCACGATTTTTCCTAAGGTTCTCTGCTGACTCCCTCTCACATGCATTTGCCAGTGGCTAATCCCTTGCCTGGCCTTGAAATGGTAGACTTTAGGTTCTCATTGCTTCTCAGCCTGTAGTTCCTCTTCAGGCAAATGGACTCATTTCTGTAGTTTTACAACCAATGTGCTAATTCATCCAAAATGTTGGCCTGCCTTTCAGACCTCTGTTCTGAGCTTATGCACATTCTCCACATCTACCTGAATATCACAAGGCACCTTAAACTCAGGATATCTGAAAACGATCGTGTGATGCACTCCCTCTTCTTGCCCAACACTTAAACGGGGCAGGACCCTATGGTCCTTCTCCACTCCCCCACCCCACCCCCCAACCCCGCCGCCGTCCTCTGCTTGCCTCTTGCCTGTGGAAAACTTTAGTCAGAGAATAAGCTTAATCAGAGAAATGAGAAATGCAGAGACAAAACAAAGGAGACCAAATAATGATAATGTAGTTATTAAGCGCAGCCAAGGACTTTTAGCTCCTTCTCAAGGGCTATAGATAATATTCTGAGCCACATCCTCTGAGCTGTCTTATAGATACTGAAACCCCAGGTAGAAGAATAGCTAATATTCTGAGCCATATCCTCTGAGCTGTCTTATAGATACTGAAACCCCAGGTAGAAGAAGCTAACTACATAATGACCGGACTATACCCATGACATTACATTAGCTGACACAATTCTGAGAACTGGCCTCAAAGAAATGGGGACAAACCAGTCGTAGAACTGAAGATTAACTGTACCTAAAACAACCAAGATGACGCTGGTCAGACCACCAATGACCAATTTAAAGATGACTGTCAGAGCTGACTGTGCTGTGTTTCTGCATGTATACACCCCTCCACTTCTGTCTATAAAAGCTCTTGCCTTTGTACAGATGGCAGCCCTTGTCTGCCAGTTGCCAACATCTAAAATAAAGCAAACGTTCCTCTCCACCAACCTGGCCTGTTTATTGGCTTTCAGTAACCACTCTTTTGGTAACAGCATCAGCCTCTCCCTCCATCCTCACAGGTCTCTACCCAGCATCCCTGCCCTGGGACCTGCAACAGCCTCCCCCTCCTCCCCATGACAGCCAGTCTGATCACATCCCTCCCAGCTCCGATCCTTCACTGGCTCCCTGGTGCTTAGAGGTTCCTGAGTGTGGCTGAGAAGGTGCCGAACGACTGGCCTCTCCTGCCTGGCTTCTCCCATCCGCCCTCTGGCTGCACGGGCCTCCTCTTTCCTTCCCAGGTCCCCGACAAGCCGAGCTCTTCGCTCCTCCTGATGGGAAGCCCCACCATTTTCTTTAGGTTGCTTTCCTATTCATCCTCCAACCTCAGCTCACAGGTTGCTTCCTCAGGGACACTATTCTTGATCACAAATTAGGTAATAAATGCTAGAGAAAATGTTCAGGAACCCTGAGTATTTATCACAAATAGAAGGACAGGTTTATTTATGAGATTTAAAAAATAATGTAGCATCTATCTCTTCCAGCACACTGTTGCTTCCAAAAGGGCCAGGGTCACATCTGTCTGAAACCTACCACTGATGCTCGGTACCTCCCATATGGAAAGGGCATGCTAACGTTTGTTCAATGACTATCTCAATTTTAATTATTTTAAGGCATTTTTAATGACCCTCCTCTTCCTCCACAAGAAGAGAAGCCACTGCTTTTCAGAATGAGATGCCTGCAAATTATAATTACCTCTGGTGATCTTGATGACATCAGGTTTGCCTGAGTTGACCCCAAGGGGAGAGAACCTGGTAAGGAAAACTGCGCTCCACAAAGACAGTCCATAGTAACCCAGCATTAGAAAGGCCAATACACCTCTTTTTTTAGGGGGGAGGCACACAGCATGTGAAATCTTAGTTCCCTGACCAGGGATGGAACCCATGCCCCTTGCTTTGGAAGCTCAGAGTCTTAACCACTGGACCACCAGGAAAGTCCCATCCAAATGCATCTTGTCCATGATTTATAGCGAAGGGAATCCGCTTGTGAGCCATCACACTGATGCTCACCATTCTCCTTTAGAGTATTCTTTCACTCACTCACTCATTTATTCATTCATCCCACAAGATCATGAATTCTAAAGTCTAGACACTGGGGTCGCCATGTGGGAAGGACACAGATATATGACGGACACACAACCAACCCAGCAGGCTGCACCTGAGAAGGAATCGTGCATGTGTCTGCAGGAAAGGAGATGCTTGAAGAGGCCAAGAAGATCCTGGGGATTCCTGCTGTGAGAGGCAGGTGACGGCCAGGAAAACAGTCCAGGCAAAGCTGGGAACACCCACATGCTCCTCGAGGAGCTCCCGAAGTACCACCGGCCACTCTAACACCTTGACGGCCAGGTAAGGGGCAGGAAGATGCTCCCGCGGCAGGAAGATGCTCCCAGGACAGCGCCAGCACCACTAGCACCATCTATACTATCTCCTCACTGGTTGTTCCTCGCGGCCTTTAGGAAGCCCATGACCTAGAGCTCAGCTGTCTTCCAGGGAAGGCAGCGTCCCCCACCCCTGACCCTGCACATGTGCATAAATCAATTATCTCCTGGGTCCAGGCTTTCCCTCTTGTTCCACCCCTGATCTGAGATGGGCAGGGGAGGCACCCATGGTATGATGGGTTAGGGGTCAGTATTGTAGGGAGGCAGGAGTGAGGTGAGGCTGTGAACCTCAAATCAGCCCTCTTAAGAAAAAAACAAATGATGGTTTAAACACTTGACTGCAGTATCCAGTTTTAAGTGATCTTCGCATTATCTAACACATATCCTTCTGGTATGAGAACTACTAAAGCTCTTTATGAACAAGCCTTGCCTGGAGTGTAGAACAGACAGGTCAAATGACAGAGCTCTTCCATATCCTCAGAAAAGACAAGAAAGCATCAGAAGGGGCAGGATTTTTAACACAGTGAAACCAATAAGAGGACTGGTATGTTGTGATCTTCTCATTTTTCAGACAGACGCCAGAACCAGTTGAAGGAAGATGGCGTCAGCACTGAATACTGGGACCCAAAACATGGACGTATGTTGAAAGAGAAAAACAGGACAAGTACATTAGCATTTTACACTACTTGCATTTAGCCTGAAACAAGGCCCCAGGAAAGAGAATTTAGATATAAAGTACAATGTGCATTTTATTCAGCATATACTTAAATGCCAGGAATGAAGCTGCCACACTTTTCTGACAACTGTTTTCTCTATAAACCTGTGCCACAAAAACAAAAATCATCACAAATTCAACAAACCAAATTTCAATTAATTATTTCATCAATTCTACAGTGAAGAGATTTGTGAAATAATGCTTTCCAGGAAGAATAAACATATTCTACCTCTGAAAATGATTTGACAGTCAATGTAAAATTTCAAACCAAATAACTGTATTATTGTAGTCCACAAGCAATTCAAGAAAAAATATGTAAGGTGTCCAAATATTAAAAATATATTAAAATAAATTTATTTTTTCTTTATAGGGAATTGCCACACCATCTGGTCTGCTTTATCCTGGTGTTTTGCCCAGTGTAATATCAGCTTTCTGAGAGCCATAAATTATTAGGTTATTCCAATGAAAAAATCTGAGTGAAGAAAAAATATAGGTTGAAGAGGACATCCTGGTTATAAGTCTGAATACTCAGGAGAACACTAACATGGCAGAACAGCCCAGCCTAAGGAAACCTGTGCGTGAAACTAGTTCACCGAAGGTGTGCGTGTGAGATGATGATGATGAAAAGGACAGGCTTACAGAGAGGATCAGGCGAAATAATAATGTGCGTTACAATATAGAAATAAATCTTCAGCATTGGGCATTACCTCTTTGTCAGAGTGCTTCTGATTCTAATTAAGTTTGGGAGAAAAATAACCAGGCAACCCCTGCCTGACTGGGAAGCATGGACTATTAAAAGATGCTTTTAAATAGTAGGGAGATGAATGGGGGCACCCAAATGTGAACACAGCCATATTTTTCATCTCAACTCTGCTGCTCTATCTTCCAGCTGATCCCCTTCACACAGCGTCACCTAAGCCTGTGCAAAGGGACCAGATGGAGGTGGAGCTCCTAGGTTTCTCAAAGAAGCATGGTTTTGTAAAGTCTTATTTAGGCAACTTGGGTGATTACCCTCTGAAAGGGTAAAGATCAAACAACACACGAACAATGGGCTCACTCTGACACTCTAGCTGCACACCTCCCTCTGTTTAAAACCTACATCAACCAAATGGTAAAAATTTTAAAAGAATATCCTTACCCGAATGATTTCTTCAACACAGCTGTTGGTTTCTCCAGATCGACTCTCCTGCAAGCAAAGGGTAAAAAACATTAAGCCTGATAGAACAGTCTTATGGTTACAATGAAAAGATGGCACGTAAGCCTCCAAACTGAATAGAGTTTGGACAGGGTGCCATGCCTCACAGGGGACTTACAGATGAGCTCTTTTCCTTAATGGGACAGCACCCATCATGGCTGAGACCACCCCCTTCCCCAACTGCTGCACCATGGACAGGGTGGCCAGAGCATCGCACACGCCCCAGAATTGCAGCATTGGACCCCCCACCCTGGTCAGCTCTAAGCAGGGCAGGCTCCTCAGGAGCACAGCACACACCTGGCAGGTTAGGGTTAGGGTTAGGGTTAGGGTTAGGGTTAGGGTTTGGGTTAGGGCAGGCGTGTGCTCCGTGCACCTGGGGCTCCATCAACGTGTGGAAGAAAGGTGGCCTCTGCGGCAAAGGTGCATCTAGCCCACCCACTGGATACATGCAAGGGCCCTGCCAAACACAAGCACAACTCTGGTAGTTGTATCACTCCCAGAGCCTAGATTTCCAGGGTGATGGGCTGCAACCTGAAAGACCAAAAGGGCTGACATGTCACCCACACTGCCCTGAGCTGAAGACGCGGTTCAGGCTCCAAGGAATGGGGACATCAGGTCACAGCCGACTCTGGGGACCATTCTAAGTTTCAGAGATGCTGTGGGGTTACTACTGGTAACATACTCCCAGAGCACAGGAGGTGGTTTTGTGGGGACGTGAAAGCAGCGTTTGCTGGTAGATGTGCCAGCTGTGGTCTCAGTGAGACACTTCTCTGGCCTTCGATTCGATGACATTGACCAGCACTCGGCATGACCTCCCAGAATGAGGCTTTCTTCACGATGTCTTTCCCAAGACTGCTCTGCTCTCTCTTTCCTTCTCACGGTTCTCTCTCCCCGACGAAGGCTGACTTTCACATTGCTGGTTTTCCTTGTTTGTTCCAAGTCATCCTTCAGAGGGCAGGTGTCAGCCGTGACTTCCTCAGAGTAGCACCCTGGCCCTGGAACATTCGGCCACGCAGCATTTGCCTCTTCTCCAGGGCACTCACCAGGATGGTAATTTATGCACAGACCCTGGAAAGAGCTCTCCTCCCTCCAGGACACGTACTCCACCCGCCTGGGGGCTCTGAGTCCTTCAGCACACGCTTCATACAGCCTTAGGCATCTGCAGTGAACGGGGATCTGTCAGGAAGGCACGGGGATGGGAACGCTTACCACAACCCACTGGAGGACTTTCCAATATTACAAAGTTTCTGCCAAAAAGTGTACCTTCAAACCCCAGACCTCCATGTATGCCCCCCACTTTCTCTTCCTAGTGGTGGAGTATTTTATCAGAAATATCCCACACTTCACACTAGGTAAGGAGCATGGGTGAATGAAAGTATGTGAGGCTTGAAAAGGTCCTATACATGATTGAGATTTTTCCTACTCAGATATAGATGGTTTGTCCAAGGCTCCCAACTGAGGCACAAAAGGTTTACGTGACTTGCCCTCAGGCCACAGAACAGCAGGGCCTGGATCAGGAAACAGGACTCCCAATCCTCAGCTGTGTACAGAAGCTTTCCCCAATCCCAAAGGCTGTGCTGGAAATATATCCATTCCCAAACCTGAGCTCACGTGTTTGTCAAAGGTATCTCATCAGCATGGTTTCTAGGAGTTTTCTATAGCTTGCAAACTTTTTTTTTTAATAGTGGTAAGGTAAAATACACATAAAATAAGTGATTTTAACCATTTTAAGTGTATATGGCCTTTAACCATTTTAAGTATATAAGGCCTTTACTGGCCTTAAATGCATTTATGTCACATCTAATTCTAGAACATTTCTGTCACCCTGAATGGAGACCCCATGCCCCTTAAGCAGGAACTCTTCATTCCCCACTCTCCCCAGCCCCTGGTAACCACTAATCTTTTTACTTGCTATCACTATGGATTTTTCTATTCTAGATATTTCATATAAATGAATTATACATTATGTGCCCTTTTGTGTCTGGCTGGTTTGTTTCACTTAAAATAATGTTTTCAAGGTTCACGTACGATGTAGCTTATGTCAGTACTTCACTCCTTTTTGTGGCTAAATAATATTCCATTGTATTTGAATATTATCACATTCAATTTATCTATTCTTCAGCTGATGGACATTTTGATTTTTCCACTTTGATTATTGTGATAGCACTTCTATAAATATCTGTGTACAAGCTTTTGTTTGAATACCTGTTTTCACTTCTTTTGGGTTATAGACATAGGAGTCTAATTGGTGGGTCATATTGCAATTCTATGCTTAGCTTTTTGAGGAACTGCCACAAGGTTTTCCATAATGGCATTTTACATTCTTACCAGCAATGTATGAAGGTTCTAATTTTTCCACAACTTCACCAAACACTTGTCATTTTCTGGTTTTGTTTTGTTTTGGATAATAGCCATTCTACTGGGTTGAAATGGTAACTTACTGATGTTTTAATATGTATTTTCCTAGGGATTAAAGAGGTTGAGCATTTTCATGTGAATGTTGGCCACTTATGTTTCTTTGGAGAAATGGCTTTTTCCCAGGTTTTCATTGGGTTGTTTGATTTTTTATTGTTTGATTGTAGAGTTCTTGATATATTTTGGATAAAGACTCTTATCAGATACAAGATTTGCATATATTTTCACCCATTCTGTGGGTTTCTATTTTCACTCTCTTCATAGTGTTCATGATACACAAAATTTTTAATTTTGATGAAGTCCAATTTACCTTTTTCTTTTTTACTTTGCTGTTGAGGTTATTTCTAAGAAACCAAAGCCAAATCCAAGGTTATGAAGATTTCCCCATGTGTTCTTCCAAGAGTTTTACAGTTTTAGTTTACATTTAGGACTTTAATCCAACAGTTTGAGAACTTTTAGGTGGTATTTATTTCCTTACAAATTATTTGCTAAGTTTTAGTTAAAATAGGAACACTATTTTAGTTAAGATAGGTAAACTATCTTTGTATAAATGGTTCCTTTCTAGTTGCATCATTAAAAGATCAATAACAAAATGTGTAAAGCACAAATACTGTGCTAACAGTGCATTAACGTAATATATATATCTATCCCTGTAAAAAGCAGTGTTAAATATCAAGATAAGATTAGAAGACCCAATGCTTTCACTAATATTTCATTCTTCTTTCCTATATTCATCCCTTCTTCTGTTTTCCCAAAAGTTCTCTTCTGGCAAAACACATTGACTACACCCCACAACTTCCATTTCCAGTGCCTTATCCCTGGTGTGCTCTGGAAATGTCACCATCCTGATACTTCAGTCAAATTAGATCAGAGAGTTCCTTTTGGAACAGACCTAAACCCTATGTTCTTTCCAGGGCAGCCAGAGGCAACCATCATGAAGGCCTCAACGGTCCTTTGAACAATGATCTCCTTTGGAGTTCAGCTGAGAAAGAATCGATGAATTGGAAAATGTATCTTCAGACCCATCAACCATTCCTCTTATCCCACTTCCAAATTCCAACCCTAAATTGTCAATGTATTTGCTATTTTCCACCTTAAAAACAAACAGCCAAGGAAAACGTGACTTTACACTCTCCTGGTGGACTCACTGAGGCACACAACTTATTACAAAAACTGTTTACATGTTTGGTTCCTTAAAGTTAAGCTTACCCTGAATACCACACTTTAATTTCATTTGAAGTGATTTATATCAATGACAGGTTCCCCTTAGTATCTCACCTCATAATCCTATAAATTTCCACTACCCTTCTCCAAAAATAGAACACCTGGAGAGGGAAACAGTATAGAAGCCTTGTTAAAATGTAGATGAAGGACGTAGGATTATTACATTCGGTCATCTCAACGGGAACTCCAACTGTGAGCTCTGAGGGTCTGGCCAAACATCAGGTCCTTCCTTCTTGGGAGGGCCCTCACCCAGCTGAGAAGGTGCCAGGAATGAGGCCAGGACAAAGGCCTTCCAACAACAGTCTCAGGGAGTCCTAGCTTTAAATTACAGTGTTGGAGGGGCTTTGGCGAGGAACACTTGGGGCTTTTTCTGGAACATCTCTGACTCCGGGGGGTCCCAAAGGAAGGCACCACATCGGGTTTGAATTTCCCAGATCCTATGTGGATTGGAGTGGATCCATGAGGCACGATATTGTAGACAGTTTGAAATGGAAGGAACCTTAGTGCTCATTTTACCCAATTGGATGACTTCAACAGATGAAGAAACTGTGACCCACAGAAGTAGAGAGTCTTGCCCAAAATCATTTTTGGCAGCAAGGGACAGTCAGGGTAGAACCTACACACATCTGTTCAACACCAGTTTAGTGAATTTTACTACCTCATGCAATCTCTCCAAGCTCAACCTTCAGAACTGGCTCAATTTGAGGTCACCATCATGCTTACTGTATAGAAATGAAAGAATCTGGACAGTAGTCAGGTAAATTTCCTCCTTTCTTCCCATGCTGCAAATTACCCAGTACTTAGTCACTCTGGATCTTACTCATTAACCTCAAACATCACATGGATAAACCAAAAGTGGAAGAGACAGGAGAGGAAGTGGAGAAAAAGGGTTAATACAACTATTTCTTCTGTGACATTAACACATCAGAGATAAGGATTTGTGCCCTCAGAAACTGGAGGACAGAATTCTACTTCACCTTTTCCAAATCTACAAAGGTTGGGGTGGGTATGTAGGGTTGGAGTGAGTTAAGCATGAGAGTTAGGGAGATTGGGGGGCTTTTTACCTGCTTTCTTTCTCAAAGTCTTTTTCAAATATGGTTTCAGCTGCAGTTGTACACTTTGATTATATTTACATTTTTAAAACTTTCAGTGTTTATGAACAAGATTAAAACATGCATGTAATTTACATCTCTAAATTTTTGTTTATATTTTTCACAATAAAGTCATTGCTTTCCTTGGAAAGGTACCCACTGAGGAGCATGGCTGCACAATGAAAATTTGAATTACTCTGTATTTTGTGAGGGTTTGGAGCTGTTACTTCATGCTGGGTTGCTGAGCTGTTGCTCCCTATT